TAGTTTGCACATGAGAGTATAAAAAATAGTTTTCACCTGTCTAAAATCTTCTCTTTTAAAACTATCACATATTATTCATGTTACGCAAAAACATACACATGAGCCATGCAACACACTTGCATTAAGAGTTTTAGACGTTACAATGGTGCTGTGCATGTTCAAGCACAGGTACTAGCTATGCCCCAGGCCAGCAGGTATTTCTACAATTGGCTAGGTCTTCTTTCTTCGTCAATGATATCCTGAAAAGTCCATCTTTTTTCTAAATCAATTCCCTTTTAAAACAAATTAAATAGCAACTAGATGATCTCAAATGATAGTTCTATCTCCTCATAAGATCTAAGGAATGTTGTACATATCTTAACTCCATAGTAAATCAGCATCAGACTTTCCTCAAATATTGTGCTCTACCAAACAATACAATTTTAAATATCTCACAATATTGTCAATTATAAATTAAAAATAACTAGATTATCATGTTTATGACAATCTTTACATTACCAATTTTTAAATCTATCATATTTTCAATTGAAAATTATTTATCTAAGATTGAACACAAGAAGAATAATCTTTCAAATTCTAATATTATATTGGCTATGGCAAAACTCAAATCAAACAAACTACTAGTGAGCTAGTAGCTTTTTAATTGGCAATAATGTCAGAGTCTCATTAGAGTTCAAGATCTAGTGGATGGCTAAGTTATCTTCAGTCAGACTACACTTTAACACAAAAAATATAAAATATATAAAACATATTTAAAAGAGTTTTGTTTTACATCTTGACCTATAGTGGAAGCGGTGAAAGTCTGATCATTTCCATATAATACCTAAAGCAGAAAATAAGTTCTGTTATACATGTATCATTACTTGGAATTTTTGAGGGGAAAGAACCTGGGCCCAGGAATCAGATGGAATCAAATCCTGACCTCCCTAATCCTAACTGAACAACTCCTCTGGGCCTCAGTTTCCTCAAATGTGAAGTAGAAATAATACTAATACCTTCTTTGTATGATTATAAATGAAAATCCAGGTGCAGTGGTGCACACCTGTAATCCCAGGCTGTACTAGAACTTGTGCTTCCCCTGCTTCAGTCTCCCAAGTACAGGTACACCACAGCATCCAGCCATAATACAGAATGTTAAGAGAAAATTAAGTGTTGGAAAAAAAGGTAGATTTCACAAAGAAACAACAGACATCACAGCTTCAGTTCAAAGTCCTTTACTTTCTACTGGTAATCATAATAGCTAAAAATGTATGGTGCTTAACATGTCAATAGTTATTCTAAATGCTTTTCTTTTATTAATTACTTTAATCAATACAAGTACCTAAGGCATAGGTCACATTGACACATACTTTTACAGACTGTGTTACATTTTTATGCCCATGACATAAAATAAACAAATAGTAAAAAGAGACTACATACAGTAAAATGATTCCAGTAATGAACAATTTCCTCAACATTTCTGACAAGTTTTAATAGGAAATGCTTTTTACATTCATCCCAGTCCATTGTAATTGACCCATAAAGTTTTGTGCTGTACATTTTTTAGGAAAGAATGTGCTCAAATAGAAACTGTGATTCATAAATTTCAAAAACATCAAAATGACATCAAGTTAGAAAATTTGGATTATAGTGGAGCTCTGTCCATTGTTACTTTTGTGATGTGGAGGCCACCTAACTGCCCTGAACTCCAATTTATGTGGAAATAATTCCTACAATAAGTAACTATTCACAGTATTAAATGAGATGATATATACATTGTCACCATAAATTATAAAGAACTGCAGAAATTTAAGTCAGTATTATTACATCCCAATCTTCTAGTGCTTCTTCTTCAACATTTCTCCTTCTTTTTGCTTATAACCTCATCTTATAACTTCTTTTCATTGCTAATCACTATAGCAATAGAGTCATTCTGACAAATAACCTTTGTGGTTGCAAAACTTAAAAGACAATTTACATTTTTATAGATCTAAAATATCTAATATCCAAAATGTCAAAAAAAATCTGAATAGCCAGGGAATTATAATTCCCATTGAGATGATACTGTTCAAGCCAATTTCATAAATTTTTTAAATTGCCATCAGAGCCAGCACAATGGCACATGCCCATAATCCCAGTGGATTGGAAGGCTGAGGCAGAGGAATCGCTAGTTCAAAGCCAGACTCAGAGAGACCTTGTCTCTAAATAAAACATAAAAATGGCTGGAAATATAGTTCAATTGTTAAGCACCCTTAGGTTCAATCATCAGTACCTCAGTAGAAAAAAAAATTGCATCAAAGAATTTCTCAAATAACTAAATGAAATTAAGAATTTGAAGAAAGAAAGCAAGATACATTGCTTTACTAATTTTGGTTTCAAATTCTTGCCTCAGCCATCTTCTGTCCTCATTTTTTTTCAGGGATTATTGCTAATCCTAAATTATCTCCTCAAGCCACCAGTTCAATTCCTAACACTAATTCTTAGGCCCCAAGTCATCCAAATTCTTCCCAAAACATGAGTGCTCAAGCAGTTTCATCATAAATAAATAAAAACAAAAAGACTCTTGTTCCCACCTTTCCCACTATCACTCTGTTTCTGTCTCTGTCCTTGCAACAACA